CAGTGAGAGCAGATCGAGAATCTTTGGGCGGGATGACCATTCCAGGCTGAATTCAAGAGGGACTGGGGGGTCAAAGACTTCGCCTAATGGGTGCCTTGCTGGGAACTTGAAGGCTACTGGTTTGTGAAGAGGGTCTAGATGGTGGCATTCTGAATCGAAAAGATAATGTAGTTATCAAAGAATTAATATTAATATTTGATTTATGAATTCAATGAGTTAGAAAAGGAACACACCTTGAATAGGTTGTTATAAAAGAAACTAGTAACCACAAGTTGGCCATGGTCGTATTGGAACAAATTGGAGGCCAGGGCGCAGTATTGATCGTGGTATGGGCAACCATCCTTTGAGAAAACTGTCTGTATGATGGAGGGCGTTGTTTGTTTCATGAGATGGGTGTGGCGTAAAGTGGAGGAAGGTGTGTGGTCAGTGGGATACCCGGTACCCATCTGTGTGTACAGATGGGTACACTATATAGCGGAGTAAGACTTCTTGGGCTGGGTTGCGGAGCGGTCGCTCCGCTATGAAAAAACCCGGCCCGGTACTGCGTTGCGCAGTCTCCGCCATGTCATTCAAAGAGCGCGGCGCACTAAAAATCGCAATACTATTGCTCCGCAACCGCCATCTATTGAGGAGCGGTTCAGGTATTCTTGGAGGGCATAATTTGAATTCAACAATCCCTTATATCTTTGTCAATTCTTGATCAAACCACTTAATTTTTTGTTCATTGAAAAGCCAAAGTCTGTGACTATATCTTTCATCAAGACAGAAAACTTGCATCCAATTCCAAAGAATATCTACGTGGATATATAGGAAATTGTTTCAAAGACAAATAGCTTTTTTTGTAGTGGAGCTACAGATTTGATGTGTTAACATAACATTCAAATAAATTTCATGGCTTCCTAATGAGCTAATTATCAAGTGTTTTGGCCCAGAATTGCAAAAGATATGAGGGATATAGAATTCCAGATTTCCCCTTGTCACCCCTTAGCCAAATTCCAATCTCTGTTACAGGTTGTAATCTGAGAATTTTGGAGGTTTTTTGTTAGTACAATCAACAATTTTCACACTAAAAATACAAAAAAATACTCAAATCAAAGCTCTCAATCATAGGAACAATATGCAAATTTTTGTATATTTTTGTCTCTCTCCCAGACTACTCAATATATTTGTGTGTTGGTTTTTATATTTTCTGCCCAGAAGATATTATATTTTGTGTATTTTTATATGCATTGTGGTTTTAAAAATATGAAAAAATATGCCAGACGATCAGAATGCATCAAAGGGTCCTCCCATTATTTTTTCATATTTTTCTGACCCTTGCCAGCTTCTCTATAATTTTCTATGTCTACTCAATTTTCTAAACTCCATGGTAAATTTGCAATTTGGCGTAGTGTTAACTTGTTTGCGCGTTTGAGGTTGCTTGACAACAGTGCAGTCAGCTACCCCATTGTTTTGAGACAATATCTTTTCTGGTTGGATCCAGGGGACAAGCGTGGCGATATCCTGCTGATCTGTTAAGATTGGATCTAAACTGTCATCTTGAAGCTGATAAGAAGTGAAGGACAGTCAGGGTTTGTTCTATTGTAAAATGTCAATATGAAACTTACAATTGTTTCCCCTTCTTTGCTATGTTGGACCAATGATTCTTCCAAAGCGTTGGTTGGAGGGTTAGGGTGGGTCTGAAAGGGTCGTCATGAATTGAAGATCGATTGAAAGAAACCTTGAGCTAATACCTGAATTCAATTAAGGACTTACTGTAATGTGCAGAATCTCTGATTCAGTGATACAGCTAGGTTCGACAAGTTTGGTATGATTGTCAAGACTTGTAGTGGACTGGAGGTTTGTAGTCCGGGAATTATCAAATGTAGATTGTGATCAACTCAAAGTTTGATCAAACAGCAACAATGATCCGCACTTACTTTTTCATCAGTATTGATCACTTTGATGTTTGATGCTTCAATGTTTGACAGTATCTGGTGATCTGAAGTAGAG